GGGCACCTGCTGCCGGCCCTGGCCTCTGGGTAACGGGAATGGGCATGGAAGCTCGCGTCAAAATGGTGGGCTTAGGGCTGGTGCCTCAGCTCCGCCAGGAGCGGGTGTTGTCCGCGGTCTCCTCTGACAGGGGAGAGCTGAGGGCCTTGTGTTTTAACAAACAAGCCAACAGTGCCAGGCCGCCGGGAGACTGACAGGGTTTGGATGCACCGAGGCACACGAAGCATCCTGAAGACGGGGACAGCTGATGACACCGGTGCAGTCATCATGAGGGGGGTCTGCGCCAGCACCGCGCAGCACATCGGCTCCCTGCAGTAGGCCTGGGTCCGTCCCGTCCCTTCGTTCTGCGTGCCTGGTCGTGCTGGGAGCGTCAGGCTTTGATTCCTCGGCAGTTTGCCATCCATGCGTTAAGGCTTAGGAGAGCTCGGAGGCTACATCTGAGGAGTCCAAGAGAAATTGGAAAGTTATGCTCCATCTTCACCCCCTGACTGTTTAATCAATTTCTAGTAAAATCTTGTATGTTTTCTTCTATTTTTTCCCTCTGCTTGCTGAACACTGGGAGGGAATAAACTTGGGCAAACCAAATAAAAACAGTTCGCTTCTCAATAATTACTTGTCTAATGTTTAGATTCTGCTAACCTACTGAATCACTAATTATTGCTACTCTTGGAGAAGGGGGGGACACAAACAGAATTTGTGACATTAAAAATACTGCCGTTGGTTTAGTAAACCACTCATAAAAAAAAAGCAAAGAGTACAAGCTCAATATGTACTTATGTCATAGTGCAATTCCCAGTGCTATCATTTGTATAACTTCTGTACTCACTTAATTATTTTTTTTTGAGAACAAGAGACTATCTACTTGGTGACATGGTCAAACTCCAGCAAAGATAATTACTTACAGAGAAAAGTCTTATCTTTTTGTCCGATTTGAGGAAACATGAAGTTTAATGATATCTATTACCATTCCTGTTTAATTCTTTAAATTGGACTTTAAATAATTGTGAGACCTTGTTTGTAGAGAAATTGCTACTGTTCTTTCATGAATGCACATGGTCAGGTGGACTCTTATATTTTCAACATTAGCATAGCTTGTGAATTTGGATTTCTGCATAAGAAACACATGACGGAGTGAGCAAGTGAATGCAGACCCACAGCACAGGCTGTGCTTTTCAGCCTGTTTTGCAAGTTATTCCATATGCACTCAGCTATAATGGCTATGCAAACAAAACTGGTATCCCTTTAGAAAAACATCTCCAGTGATACGTGTGTGTTTACGTCTTTAATTCTCATTATGTCATTTTTAAAGCTGTGTGTATCCCTGATACCAGAACTAAAGAGTAGTTAAAATGGCTGACATTTGTAAGAGCCAGACAACCTGTTTAAATAATGCTAAAAGAATTATTGCAGGCAGTTATCTCTATTTGTAGTTGATAAAGCTAGATAGATAGATAGAACAACATCCAGCAGAGCAGTATCTGCTTGTGGGCTTGTGACATGTTCATGTTTCTTGGAAGGCAAGAGTTTAACCCTTTGCTAAAGGAGATCAGACCGAATACCTGGAATGACTGCAATTTGCTGCTGGGTATGGTGGGAGACAGGGGATACCTCTGTTTCCCACTGGAAGTGGGAAAAACCTTGCCTTGCCACAGGAAACAAAACTGAATAGTCACTGTATTATGGTGTGCTTTGTGAGATAAAATGAAGGGAAATATCCCTTTTGATTCTATAATTGATCACAGGTCACGTTTGAAAGGCATATTACCCAACTAAAAGTACTGCTTTTTTAAAAAGTAGCTAAAGTACACTCAGTGTCATCACTCTATTTACCACTAAGACCAAGAATTTTAAAAATCAGACTTGTTTTCTACCTTTATGAAAATTAGACTATTTGTCTTTTTATGTTGTTATTTTTATTCAGATACTAAGGCTCAAGCTTTAGGGTTTTTCCCCTGTTGAACAAAACCAGTCCTTCTGACGTTATTAGTGAAGGCTCCGTCTTGGTTATCAAGAGAGGAGGAGGTTTATAAGAAAAACAAATTTCTTATATTGAGAAATAAATACCAGTCTGTTTTCTTTTTGTTAATATTTTTTTGGTTTATTTTCAATTTTTTTATTTTGCTACATTGATACAATTTTGAAATCAAAATCAACTTTGAAGTTTTGTAACTTTTGAAGCAATGTTTTATTTACTGCTCTACAGAATTTGTATTTTGAATTATTTGGAACTTAATTGAAGTATTAAGCAGATAAACTTGTAATATAATACCGAGATGCTTTTGAAGCCCT